CAATCCTACTTCCGTAGTGATACTGCCTCGGAAACCCAAGGAGGGGTCGCTATGAGTCGGGGCCGACTCGACGGCACATAACAACAACAACAACAACTGCCCACCCAGCTTTGAATAGTCAATAGAATGATTCATGGATCTCCTCATATCAGCAGGATATTTTTCATTATAGCAGAAGAATAAATTAGAAGCCCTGAAAGGTTTGGTTAGGGAGGATCACAAACAAAATCTGTTATCTTCAGAGATGAGTCATGTTCCCAAAACATTGATTTGTGGCAGTGCGCAGAATATTAACACTCAGGGAAGCACACCTTAGCCTTGACATCCAGAGTTTTGTTACTTTCTATACTTGGTTTTGGTAGAAGGGATGATTTTTTCCAAGCCCTCTCTATTGTAGCCAGAAATGGAATTCTGTATATACTGATAATTTTTAATAAAATTGCCTGAGATTAATGATATTCAGATACAAGAAATGCTTTTTGAGTAGGAAACAATATCTGTTACTGATTTACAGTAGCATACTGCCTAAATAGAAATAATTGCAAATGAATTATGCTACCACATAGACCACAAACTCTGGCAGTTTAATAATTTGACAAGTTTTGCAATGTCAGTTAAATATTTCATTAAACTTTATTTTTTTTTTTCTTTTTTGGTTATGTTTTATTTCTGTTTTTTCCTTCACCCAAGTTAATATGTGTCTATCCTCTAGTTAGTGGTTTTCTTTACTCACCCCTGGTAACCATCAAAGAATATTTCTTTTTTTGTAAAATTAATTTTTGAAGTGAATTCAGAATTAAATTATTTTTAGGTAAAATATTATCAGTTGTGCATAAGACTTTTAATTTAGCCATAAAATATTAAATTTAGGCCTAATTGTTATCAGAATTAAACTAAAGTATAAATTTGGAATAGGTTCCATTCATAATTTTTATAAAATGTCTGAAATTTGTTGATGATAGGCAAGTGTTGTTTTTTTTTTTTCAATAAATTTCTCATGTTTTGCTATATCAGTATATTTATGATTCTTTCTGTATAGATAGAAATAGTCCTATAAAGTATTTGCTTTATTGTACTTAGAGTTTTAAATGAAATAATTGTTTTATTATAATAACAATTGTTTATTACTTAGAGGTAGGTTGGTTACTAAATAAATGTTCATACTGAAAAATAATATATATTAAAATTTTAATGTATGTATTGGAAGTATCAAGATGAGTGCACTAACAACTGTTATACAAAAAAGTTCAATAGGATTTTTATTAATAATTAATATTTGGTATATTATTTAGGTGTATTGACATACAGCAGAGCAACGAGGTAGAGAGAACACAAGCACTTCGATTAGTCAGAAAGGTATGCTATATGTGTGAGAGTAAATGCAAATATATGGTTTTTATGTTCAATGTTTTACATTTTTGGGTTACAGTGTTTTGTGAAAACTTTTTATTAGAATTTAAAAGACTAAATTCGTATTAAACATTTTTATTTTGTTAAAAGTTATAGAAGTTAAATAGGTGATTTAACTTTGAGGTAAGCACAAATTTTGGGGTAATTTTTCTGTGTTTGGGTGTACCTAGGATAACATTTCTTATAAAATGTCCATGGTAAAGACTTTCTTCCTTTTTGTAGACATGTAAATATTGCTTTGATAAGTTATTTAACAAAGAGCTGTTACTTACTCTCACCCTGATTTTCCCTTAATTGTATGCATGGAGTTAATACTATTAAATGGATGTTTCAAATAGTTATAAGTTTGTTGTTTTGAAGATGAATTCATAGGCAGTAGCAATAAACACTTTAGGCTATTGCTCAGAAGAAAAGGTCACAGTCTAAATTGGACAAAAGAGGACGTTGAGGCCTATATATAATGTTTTTCATGAGGGGACTTTAAGCAATGCCTTTTGGTTATTTAGTGTGATGCCTTAATTGCAGTAGAAACTGAGAATAAATTTAAGTAAGACAAGTAGCATTTTTCATCAACATTCATGAGAATCATGAACTGTATATGTGTTTTAATGTAAAATGTCTAAAATTATTTAAAAGTTTAATTTTTTAGCTCTTCTCCTTCACCTTTCAATTCAACTCATGTTTCAAAACGATGTATTGTTGAGTTTGTGTATTAACAAGGGTCCCCCTTTTTGCTTTTTCTCCAGTTGTCTAGCTTGTGCGTATTAATAATACCCACATGTAGAAACAGTAAAAGGATGAGTTAGATCTTAAAAGAAGTTTGCAAATCTAGTAAAACTGATATTGGAGATAGGAAAATTTTCTTACAGATAAGAAGTTATATCAAGACCATGATACAGCTTTCAAATTTAAATTAAAAAACTAGAATTATAGTTTTTGCTTATTTATACAGTCCTTTCTGAGGGAGATGAGAATTTAAGAGATGAGAACAAAACTTGTTTCTAAAGAATCTAGAATAACATTTTGGCCTTAGAAACCTCTTTCTGTGCTTAAAAAGTACTGCATTTTTGTTTAATAATTTTTTTTTTAAATTTAAAAACAGCTTTTGTTTCGGTTATATCTGTTAGTATTTATCATATTAAGAATTAAAAGTGAGAAATAAAAATAATTATTGCTATATTAAAAATAACAATAAATCCATTACAGATAAATATAAAATAACAATTTTTAAAAAAATAACTATTTTCTAAAAAGAAAATTAGCAAAGAATTAATGAAAAGTGGCGTTGTTTCAGTTTGTAGAAAGCTCTTTAATGTTTCTCTTGCTAGAAAACAGCTGGACTGTCATACTTGCTTCTGCATTCAGTCTTTTGTGAGATCTCTAATTGAGCCTCTTGAAAACATATATATATAAATAAAAAAGACAAATAATGTCTTTCAGTTATTATGAAAATGGTGTTAACTTTGAGCCTCTGAAAATTTTCTTAGGGTTCCTCAGAGTTTCCTGGGCCACAACTTTGGTATTACCACCTTAGAAATTGGGAAGAAAAACAACCACAGACGGATTCAAACAGAATTAAATTCTACTTCTTGAATTATTTAATAAATATTTCATTTTAATTTTGTAAAGTTTTTTGTGCAGGTTAAAATTTCACTGATAATATCTCTCAGTGAAAGTAAACAGACCTTTGAAAACTGTCTGATGCCACCATAACAGAACGGCATCATAGGCTTTTGTCCCGTGAGGTGCAGAGTCACCAGAGGCACATAGCATTTGTGAATCCCAGAGCAGGAGAATTGCTCTTGTGTATGGGAGGATGACTGATGGGGAGAGTTGTGGTACAAGGGGACTCCGTGATTTTGTTAAAGGGAAAACACATTTTGATGTGTGAACAGTGGCCTCACATTTCTTTTTTCCAGAAACATCTTGACAACTGAAATGGTAGAAATTAATGTTAAATATTCTAATTGCTAGGTCACTGTTTTTTGTATGTGTTTAAAACGTTTTAAATTTTTCTCTAAACGTTTTAATCTATTTTAAAAGGAAAGCACAAATATTTGTTGCTTTAAGATAACTTGCTCTAGGAGTAATTAAAGAATATTCATGTTACTTTTCTTTCTGTTTTTCCCATCTCATATATATGGTAGACTTTTTTCTCCCCCAGTATCTTTCCGATTCTTTTTCTTTTTTCTTTTTTTCTCTGTTTCACTTCAATCCAGGTAATCTTTTCTGTTTTTTTCTCATTTTCCAGTGTAATTTTCTCACTGGTTCAGCTGTTGCTACTCCAATCTTTATATTCTGTGTACTCTAAATTCTACTTGTTGCCCACCTAATTTATTTAAGCCATCTTTTTCTTCATATATCATTTCTTTAATTATATAACAAAGGACTAACAATTCACAGAATTTTTACAATTGCAAAGAATTAATTTGATAAAATCACTTGGCCTTTATACAGCTGGGATGTGGCAAAAACAGAGCTGGAACCCAGTTCTCCAGGTTTCCAAACCTGCACTGACTCACAAGTCCTCTTAGTATTAAGTACAGCCTGCCTAGTTTGGCATACAGAGTCCACTTTTGGTCTAACCAACTATATTTGCTTCACCTGTATTATTGTGCCACCTTGTTACACTCAGTACTCATCGCCACTACCATGGTTGTTACTTCCTTCTTACTCTTTTCATTTTGTTGCACTTCTTTGCACACCATGCTTATGTGGCTTGCTCAGCTCAAAGTTTACATATTCACCATGAAGAACTCTGAAACTTTTATATTAATCCCACGAATGTATTACCTGTTCATGATCTTTATTTTGTTTCATATATGTATGGCCTGTTGTGCTAAAAATGATGACTAAACTTTTTCTATTTTAGTATAACTACATTTTATGATTTTTATTCATTGATCTATGAGAAAAGCTTTCTGTGATTTATACAGAATTCAAGAGTTTCTTTGCATCGATTTCCCTGGAAAATTAGAAGAGTGATTTGGTTTGTAAATATTTAACTTTTATGTGTCCTGTCAATAATCCACATGTTGAGTTTATTAAGTACACGTTAATAGGTATTGCACATTATTAATTATAGTGAAACCTGTGAGAACCAGAAGTTTATGGGACTGCCTTTTTCTTCCAGGTCTCCCAAATTTTCTGCCTTTGACAGGATACAGTCTTACCCCTTTCTGTTGCTTCTTTCAGTGGAAAATATTTTTGTTTTCCCTCTCTGACAGGTTTCCACTTTGTACAAGTCCTGGCTTTTGTAGGTTTTATGTATGTTGATCCTTCAAAATGTCCATATGAAGCACAGATTAAAATTGGTAGCTGGATCTTATAAATACTCTTAAGTGTTAAGTACCCCAGTCTCAGCAAAATAGTTTTAAAAAATACATTATGAAATAAATAACTTTTTTTCTAATTCCTCCCTGTTGCAGATGATTACTGTGAATGCTTCCTTATTTCCTAGCTCTGTGGCCAACTCATTAATAGCAGTTGGAAATGATGGACTTCAGGAAAGAGACAGAATGGTTCGAGCCTGCATTGCCATTATCTGTGAACTAGGTCAGAATTTTCTTGAAGTAATAAACATATATTATTTTAAAGAGAATATTTAACATTTCTTAAAGCCTTTATTACATGAATTCTTTAGTTGTTGGTACAAAGATATGAAAAATTAGGACAGTCCTGATAGGGAAACATTAATTTCTGTACATTTTAAAGTTATTCTAATCATGACATTTTGACTAAAAATTATTCAAATTCTAGTAATTAAATTGAAATCTCTTAAAATCTCAATCTCAGAAATTAATCACACTATATCTTGATGTGGGTTAAAAACAAAAAAGAACAATCAACAATACATAAAAACTGAGTTCTAAATACAAGAGCACTGAAAAGTAAAAATGGGAAAAAAAGAAAACTGAGCAGAGTGAAAAACACAAATGAATGTTTGTTGATAATTGGAAGGAAAAGAGTTCTGACTTATTAAAGTAACTCACACAGGAATTTCAGCCTGTATAGATTTCACTGTAAAGAGCCAAAAAACACAAAGTACCAGGACAAATAAGGGGAAAAAATCTAACCAACATGATTGATAATAACATACATACAGATCAATAGGACAAACAGGTAATTCCAAAAGAAATACATGAGCACTCAACATATCTGAAAAGTACAACCTCACTTATAAATAAATATAATTTAAATTTTAAGACAATATTTTTTCTCACCAAAAGTAGAAATAATATAGATTACATTCCCTCTTGATATAAATAAACATAAATTATTTTTAAAAAAATGTTTACAGAAAGAAAAATGGAACCAAACTGTACATTGAGGATTTTAAATGCTGTTCACAATACATTTTGATAAGACAAAGTCAGAAATGTGATTTAGAAAATAATAACAATTTAACTAAATGTCAGTGTATGTCATCCCTAAAAGCTATGCTCAGAGTTATTCTTGTCTTAAAATGCTTTTATAATGAGGCACAAAATAATGAAAATAGGAGAATTAACCATCTAGCTTAAGAAATAGAAAAAAAACCATCATTTTCAAGAGAAGGAGGAAAGCGGTAAAGTTATGAGCCTTAATGAGTTAGAAATGAAGTAGATTGTAAATGTAAGCTATGTTGATTGATGAAAAAATCAAAGAAATACAGAAATCTTTTAAAAATGAAAATGTCAGAAAAATTAAAGATTAATATAGAAATGAGGTAAGAGATTTTTAATTTATAATTTACATGTATATGAAAAGTGTCATTGAAATAAGCGGTTTTTCAGAGAAAAATTTAATTTCCAGTTGACTTGAAAGTAGAAAACTAGATAAATTAAAAGCTGTAGCAGTAATTCAAAACATTGATGAAATCATCGCCCCTGAAAAGACTCATGCAGGTAATTTTGTCTTAAAAAAGAAAAAAGTTTCAAGGAATAGGTAAGCCATGTAGAATTATCTGTTGTAGAGTGTTAAAAAGATAGAAACTTACTGATTTTTTAAATGAAATTAGCATTTTTGTATATACACATATCCACATAAACATACAAAATTTTCAAAATTAGAAGACTACTTTATTAACAGAATATTTATCTGAAACCAACAGTTACTCTTAATAGTGAATCTCTATGTATACTATATCTCCTTGACTCTTAATCAGAATTGTTTGAGAACTTTTAGCCAGATTAGTAAAATAAAGTAATAAATGAAGTTTACATATTGGAAAGGAGACAGATTTACTTTGTGGGTTATATCTTTTATCTAGAAAACTGAATTAAATGAAAAACAATAATATTTCAGTATAATGAAAATAGAGATTTGACACATTTATTTTATGTTTCAGCAGTAATCAGTAAATACAAAGGAAAAAATTGATACTATTTCCAAAGTAGGGAAAATAAACTATATACAGCAAATAGGAACTCTGGTGATGTAGTGCCGAAGGCATTTGTCTGCTAACCAGGAGGATGGTGGTTCAAACCCACCAGCCATTCCTTGGAAGGAAGGTTGGGCAATCTACTTCCGTAGTGATATTGCCTTGGAAATCCAAGGAGGGGTCGCTGTGAGTCGGATCTGACTCCACGGCAGTGGGTTTGGTTTTAGTTTTATACAGCAAATAAATAAAAAATGTGTATGATTTGTGTATGTTTGTGGTGGTATTTTTGAATTTTCAAATTGATTGTCTTAAAGGCAAAATTTATCTGTGAGTGTAGAAATAGTGTGATGGAGGGAAACTTCATTGACCATTGGAAAGTGATGTACCTTGATGGGGGTATTCGTTACAGGAATTTAGACATTGTTCAAAAACTGATTGTACATTAAGATCTATACATTTTACTGTTTATAATTATACTTCAATTTATAAAAAATAGAAGAAACCTAATTCTGAACTTCGGCTATAAGAATAAACAGGAAAGAACCAACCATGAAAACATTTTTGTAGAAGAATAAATAGAGGGGACAGGGAAGATATTTTTAGATTATATGTGTGTGTGTTTGTGTGTGTGTGTATTAAGAGACAAAAAAATCTAGAGTTGCAGATTAAGATGGCTTAGTGTATCAAAAATTAGTTCAGGAAGCATGCTGGGATTATTGATTAAACATTTTAAAAGAAAATGGAGTTTATGAGCTTAAACCACACTCGGTTTCCTAACACATTGAAATCAGAAATGTAAATTATGCACTCATTTAAAACACAGACACATATGCACACAAAGAAAATGTGTGATAGAGTAAGAGAAGAGTTTTAAACTTAAAGTTAATGATAAAGTGTGTGTTTGTGTGTGTATCATAATAAAGAAAAATGAAATATTCCATTTTAGACAAAATTTTAAGTTACAAATCAGATAAAAGATATGAAAGAGATAAAGGGCTAATAATTGCCATAAATAGCTCCCTACAATTGATAAGAATAACCATTTCAGTAAAATATGGACAAAGCATATAAAAATATAATTCAGATACAATAAAAAAAAAATCAAGATTTGGGGAAGGGCTCAATGACTTCTTATTAGATTTTATCCATGTACCCTGTTAAATGGCATTAACTAGAAAATTTTTCAAGTCAGAAAGGAAATTGAGTTTTAAAGCAAAAGCCCGTATTTCCGATGACTTCTTACTAATTTCCCCCAATATAATATATTAAGTTTTCTCTCTTTTATTTTAGCACTTCAGAATCCAGAGGTGGTGGCCCTTCGAGGTGGACTAAATACAATCTTAAAAAATGTGATTGATTGCCAATTAAGTCGAATAAATGAGGCCCTCATTACTACAATTTTGCACCTTCTTAATCATCCAAAGACCCGGCAATATGTGAGAGCTGATGTAGAATTAGAGGTAGGAACTTGATATTCTTTTCAGCTTTAAAATATGATTTTAAATACGTAGTTTTACTTCAAAAATTTAAAATTAATAGATACAGCACAGCATTAATTATCAAACTTAAATTAACCAAGACTGGTATATTCCTAGTCATAGAACTCCAAATTCATTCAGTTTGGAGTAAATTGACATATCTTCAAGAATATGTCATCAGTCTGTAAAGTTAGGTTTATTTTTGTTTTATATATAAAAAAAATTGCTAAGCAAACTAGAGTACAATAAGGTTACATAATACATTTCCCTATTTTAGGAAGGCTGTTTTTAAGGAATCAGTACACTAATTGTGTGTTAATGGATCCTTTTAATTATACACTATTTATTCATTAGGCTAAAATTTTCTAAAGTTGGAAGCACTTCATTAGCAATTATAATTACTTGATATACTAAAAAACAATAGAATGCATATCTTTTGAAAATACAATTTAAATTCTTTCATTAACTCACACAATGCTTTTATAGTGAGTCTAAAATTCGCAGAATTTGAAAGACTAAACTTAGAGACCTTCTGAAGGCTAAATTTGATGCATTGAACACCAGTAACTGAAGACCAGACATGTTGTAGCGTAACATCAAGGGCATAATATATGAAGAAAGCAAAAGGTCATTAGAAAGAAAAGACCAAAAATGGATGTCAGAAGAGACTCTGAAATTTGCTCCTGAATTGAGAGTAGTTGGCATAATGGCTAAGGCATTTGACTGCTAACCAGAAGGCTGGTGGTTCAAACCCACCAGCCACTCCTCAGAAGGAAGATTGAGCAATCTACTTCCCTAGAGATGCCACCTTGGAAACCGAAAGAGGAGTCGCTGTGAGTCAGATGCAACTTGGCAGTGAGTTTGGTTTTGGAAAGCAAATGGGAGAAATAATGAAATAAAAGCTGAATAAAAGATTTCAAAAGACAGCTGGAGAGGATAAAGTATTATAATAAAATGTGCAAAGATCTGAAATTAAAAATCCAAAAGAGAAGAACACGCTCAATATTTATCAAATAGAAAGAACTGAAGACAAAATTCAGACCTTCACTTGAAATATCGAATGATTCTATGGGCAAAATATTGAATGATGCAGGGAGCATTAAAAGAAGATGGAAGGAGAATAGTCACTGTACCGAAAAGAACTGGTTGATGTTCAACAGTCTCAGGAGGTAGCATGTGATCAAGAACCAATGGCTTCAGGAATTGAAAGAATAATCCCCATTGAAATGTTTCAACGCTGAAAGCCAAGATGTTTGGAAAATAGCTGTCTGGCCAGCCCACTGGAAGAGATTGATATTTGTGCCCATTCCAAAGAAAGGTGATCCAACAGAGTACAGAAATTACTGAACATTATTACTAATATCACACACAAGTAAAATTTTGCTGACAGTGGTTCAAAAACTGTTGCAGCAATATGTCGACAGAAAACTGCCAGAAATTCAAGATGATTGAGGAGAGATCATGTAACTAGGGATATCATTTCTGATGTCAGTTGGCTGTTGGCTGAAAAAAAAGAATACCAGAAGGATGTTTACCTGTGTTTTATTGACTATGCAAAGGCATTCAACTGTGTAGATCATAACTAATTATAGATAACATTATGAAGAATGAGAATTCTAAAACACTTAATTGTGTTCGTGTGAAACCTGTACATAGACCAAGAGAAATTCATTCAGACAGAACAAGGGGATACTGCATGGTTTAAAATCAGGAAAAGTTTGTATCCTTTCACCATACTTACTCAATCTGTATGCTGAACAGATAATCTGAGAAGCTGGAGTATATGAAGAAGAATGTGGCATCAGGATTGGAGGAAAACTCATTAACAGCCTACATTATGCAGATGATGCAGTCTTACTTGCTGAAAGTGAAGATGACTTGAAGCACTTACTGAGGAAGATCAAAGACTACAGCTTTCAGTATGGATTATACCTCAGCATAAGGAAAACAACCATCCTCACAAATAAGCAATATGATTTCATTTTACTTGGATCTGCAATCAGTGCCCACAAAAGATGCAGTCAGGAAGTCACAGGAGGTATTTCACTGGGCAAATCTGCAAAAGACCTCTTTAAAATGTTGAAGAACAAAGATGTCACTTGGAAGGCTAAGGTTTGCCTGCCTACACCATGATATTTTCAGTCGCCTCATATGCATGTAGAAGGTGACAGTGCATAAGGAAGACTAAAATAGAATTCATGCATTTGAATTGTGTTGGAGAAGAATATTGAATATACTGTGGACTGCCAGAAGAACAGTCACATCTGTTTTGGAAAAAGTACGGCACATATGCTGCTTAGAAGTGACCTTCAATTAGCAGTCTCTGATACTTGGTCATGTTATCAGGAGGGACCAGTCCTTGGAGAAGCATATCGAGCTTGGGAAAATGGAAGGTCAGTGAAAAAGAAGATGACCTTCATTAAGATGGATCGACACAGTGATTGCAATAATGGGCTCAAGCATAGCAAGGATTGTGAGGATATGCAAGATTGGGCAGTTTTGTTGTATTGTACGTAGGGTCATTATGAGTTGGATCAGACTTGACATCACCTAACAACAACAACGGAAGTTATAAACTAATGAAAATCACTCATCTTTATGAAAGTTTCGTCAGCGTGAGGTTGGAACAGAGTTAGTTATCACATTGTATTATCTTAGTTTATTTTTGTGAATGTTGACATCTCTTGCATATGACATTAAGGGTAAGTTTAAATGAAGGATATCTTTGTGGGTTTTTTTTTTTTTTTTTGTAAAAAATTTTGCAAAATATAAAAGTTTTATTCTCTAATTTGTCTTTTTAAATTATTTTATGAAATCTGTCTTAAATACTATATTTTATTTTATCAATGGAACTAGAAACATTTGAGGTGATAAAATTGGCATTAGCCTGTAGCATTTAACAAAATTAAGTAAACTAGTGTCCTTAATTAATGATTTCAAATGGTAATCATGGGAGTTCTAGGGAATAAACACTTTTTTTTTTAAATGTATATTTAATGGTGTATGTTTAGCTTCATTTATTTTTCTTTACTGAATAGAAAAAAATATGATTTTAGAATTGGAGAGATAATTGCAGTAAAAGAAGAAACATAATATAAAGATTCTTTTTCTTTGTTCCTGTATAATTCTGTGGCAAATTATTAAAGGGTTTATATAAATGAAAAAAATTCTCAAAGATTATGGTAGACTTTTTTAAGTATACCAGTATCTTTTATCGTTTTCTTGAAAACCACAGACATTGTTTTTTTTATCCCCCTCTCTTAATGATATCCTCAGAATAGCATAGAGATTGAGAGTGTAGACTTTGGGCTCTACAGATCTTGGTTGGTTGGTTGCTCTACAGCCTATTAGCTTTTTTGGACAAATTAGCCTCCCTTGGATCCATTTTTCTTCATAGACAAAATGAAAGTTACAGTTCTTACCTCAAAGAACTGTATATGTAAAATATGTTATACATTTTTTCTTCATCACGCTCAAAGAATGTGATGAAGAAAAAATGTATAACATATTTTACATATATAAATATATAAAAATATATGTTAATAATAATATAATAAAAGAGCAGTAGTTGCAGCTGTTAACAATGAGACAAAGCTTATAATGAGTTAGGCAGTATTCCGGGTACTTTACATATATTGTCATCCACATAGAATGTTTACTTAGTACCTGTCACATAATAAATGTTAAACAAATGCTGGTTATCTTGATTATTATTTTGTCTTCATCATCATCAACATCTTCAACTGATTCTACTGTTAAAATGAATAATAATGAAAAATATATATTTAAAACAAGGAATCCCAGGGTGGTTCATATGGCTAATGTGCTCAGCTACTAATTGAAAGGGTGGAGGTTTAAGATCACCTGGAGGCACTTTGGAAGAAAGCCTTGGTAATCTACTTCCAAAAACACAGCCACTGAAAACCTTGTGCAGCATAGTTTTACTCTGATACATACAGGTCACCACAAGTCAGACAGAATTGTGAAAGCAGTAAGGACCATAGAGAGGAAGATTTCAGAGAAGGAAGACTGAGAAATGTACATAATATCTGCAGTTGCCTTTGGGGTACTTGCAGATTCTGTGCACAAACTAGAGGCTAAGGCTGGCACATTTGGCCATAGTGGGAATGCAGTGACAAACCTAGAGGAATGAAAAATTTTTGGAACAAGTCTGGTTTACTTCCTCCAGACATTTGCTGAAATGACTTATGCAGGACAGAAGCTAGTATGTCAAAACTTCAGAAATTTCCAATGCATAGACACTATATTCCAAACTGGCCTTATATAAGGAGGGCCTGTGGGGAAAAGTTAAAAGGCCTTTAGGGAGTAGTGAATTTACATTGATTATCTACAACTGCTTTTTTTCTTTTTTTGTGCTGGGAGTACAGGCTGATGAGGACACTTTTGAAGCTTAGAAACGTGGTAGGCCTTTACTGCCATCAGAAAATCCAGAAGAGCTTTTGTTAGTTGTGTGGTGCTGAAGTGACAAAATCAGATACTTTATAGCTAATCTCTTCATGACATTTCCTAAACTGTGAAGCTGTACTGGGTGGGTGACCAAACATCTAACGTTAAAACCTATGTAGTGTGTGGAAAAACATCTCACAAGTGTCTCACTGCTAAGGAGAAGAATACTTGGCAGTCTTTCTATTGAAAGTACTGGAGGGTGCCATACTTTAAGAATATGAGAAAACCAGAGGTATTTTTAGTCTTACCAACTTGCAAGGCAATCTCAACTTAGTGATTCAAATAAATTGATCAATCCCCAGTTATCTACCTGTTTTGTAGAGAAAAGTGTGAACTGTCTCTAATGGAAGATAAGATTATTTGGAGTTTTTTTCACATTGAAGCAAAAATTCCTATTTATAGAAAATGACAGGACTGTATGACTAAACAGCTTCCCCCTAAATAAACAAAACTGAATTGAGTAGAAACAGACCCACAAGTGGTCCAGATATGTCAATTAGAGAAAAAAGACTTTC